TATATTTATTTTTTGTAATACTCCTTTTAAATGTGCGATGAAATTAGATGCAATATTGTAGATATGTGCTGAAAATTCCACACTGTACCAAAAGTACTGTTTCTGGAATAACAGCGAAATTATTAAAAAAAAAGAAACTAGACATAACATGAAGCCAAACGAGAAACGTGGGATAACAAAATAAGTAGTCCGTTGAGTCTTGTATTGGCAGACATTTTTATGGCTGATCTTGAACAAACAAAGTTTAAGTGTGCAATTACTGAAACAACAGACTACTATAGATACACAGACAACACATTCATTTTAGACAACGACGTGAGTTGGGCTTCGTACATGATAGTATCACTTTCACACCATAATACGAAGATGATGGAGACTCAGCTTCCTCGATGTCACCTTAGAGAAAAGAATAGATGCGAACCTTAGAATATCAACTTTTCGGAAGGATACATGGAAATGCCTCTACCTACATTTCAGTAGCTACTACCCAGTAGACTATAATTCAAGCTGATGGAGAAGCTGTTCTGTACAACAAAATTTATATGACGTCTCGATATGGTATAATTGTGAACAATAAAATGTGTTGGAAACATTGTCACCCAGTAAATAATACTTTCTCACTGTGTGATATATCTAATAAACAAACTAATATGGAATCTTCTTTGGTTTATTGAAGCTACAACATCTATGTATCCGAAATGAATCCATCAATGCACTTCAGATGCCCTAACAACCTCTTCCTTAGTAATGTTTTGCGGTCTGGTTGAAACATTTTGTTTCCCCCAGTTTTCTATGACCCTCATATTAGGTTTAACTTTAGACCGTTCGAGATCTCTTCACTGTATCCCAATACAAAATGCACCATCATCTTTTTATTAGACTTCTTGCATACTAGAGTTTGGATGTTTTCCGATGTTCTGAACCCCAATTGCTGTATTTAACCATGCCTGCGTACGTAACTGTCTCTAGCATAAAAAATTATTCTAAATATTGCAGTCTCTAACAACAAAATTATCTGTTTGATCACTTACACAAAACTAAATTTGGTCTACAGCATACCGAACGAAGAAGTGAAGAAGAGCACGAAAAAAAGTCAAAAGATAATTATCTGACAGACTAGCAGCTGAAGAAGAAAAGACCTCTGAATACTACATTGGACAACCGCGTCAGCATTCAAGATGAGAATGACAGAGATGAAATAAATGAAAAATAGTGAGCGGAACCTAATTACCAAACAGGAGAAGCAAAGGTAACAATACGTTGATCGCTTTAAAGGACTCCTGAATCGATCCTACCTGCGATTAGTCTATAAATACCACCAACTGCCACAGAACTGACAGTGAAGATCGACTGTCCGACAGAAACGGAAGTCTTGAATGCTATAAAGTCACTAGAAGCTTAGAAGGCGGCAGGACCGAAAAGAATTTCAACAGAAGCGCTGGAAAGCGATCCGCAAACCTCAGTGAACGTCCTCACGCCACTGGTACAGAAAGTCTGGAAGATAGGAGAAGCACTTAATCATTGGAGTTAAGGCTATCTTTTCAAACTACCAAGGAAGAGCAATTTAAGTCTTCACAAAAACTGAGGTGGAATCATGTTTCTCTTTACATCAAACAAAACATTGAGTCAAGTCATATCGTAGGAACTAGAAGATGCTTTGGATACAAAACTCTGTTCGAAACAATCTGTATTCAGCGGAAGTAACACATGTGTTGATCAAATTGCGACTCTATGCATCATCATCGAACAGCGCCTGGAATGGTAGTCAAATCCCTGCCTTAGCTTCATCGACTTTGAAAAGGCTATCGACAACGTTGGCCGCGAAGTAATTTGGAAGCTGCCCCAACACTACGGAATTCAGTCACTCACACCTTTATCAACCTCATTCAATAGCTATATGGGAATGTGACATGTCTTAACGATAAACGCAGCGAATCCTTTGAAGAGAGGACGGGAGTAAAACGAGGCTGCCTACCGTCACCGATGATTTTCTAACTGTGGTGGGCTGTATCATGCAACAAACTGCGGGGAACGAGAAGACAGGATAGATCTGGACTTCGAAGAAGATTTATGTCTAGTATACTGTAAAGTCGAAGATCCACATGCAACAACCAACAAGTTGACAGAAGGGACAGACAACGAAGAATGCACTCCAAGTGAAAATACAGAAGGCAGAGGTGATGAGAATACCCAAAAACCGAAGGCAACAACAAGCACCAGTAATCATCAACGGAAGAAATTTGAAGGAAGTCACTTCTTTCACTTATCTAGGCGACACCGTTTCAGTTGTATACTGAATCAAGGCTGAAGACACCAGGCATAAACTCTCTTCATGATTTCATTGTATCTCATAAACACTAAAGATGTTAACTGTTAGCAGTTAGACAGCTGAAAGTAGTGTTCAGCTTACCTTCGATGCTCAACAGAACCAATATATAAAGCATAGTTGAAATCTTGAACAACGTCTGATCAAATCTGTCCGGTGTTTACTTGCTCTTGTGGAGCTGAATACGTTGGCCGTACCATGCGTAGACTTGAAAAACGCGTTCGTGAACACTACCCAGCCTGGTCAGTAAAATGAGACCAAAAACGTGTATATAGCTCAGTGACAGAACATCCGATCAATTCAGGATATCCAGCGCCTTTCGAAAAATCCTTCAAAGTAATATACAAGATCCAACCAAACCTATCAAAGGGAGTGAAATCAAGACATCTGGGCATAGCTGAGGCACTAGCTATCCAAAAGCTCAAATCCACGCTTTGTATCCAAAAGAAATACGTCCAACTCCTGTTCCTGCCATGGCCATCATAAACAGGTAATTTTTTAGTAACGACCATCCCATCACCTTTCTTATCCAAACTTCCTGTTTATTCATGTTATTTTTTAAAGTTTTTCTTGATCCCTGTTTACACTACCATATTTTCATACCCGAACTTAGTTTTTATTTTGTCATTTTACTATTTCTACATATTTAATCCCTGATTGCATGAACAATTATTCATCACATTAGTTTTTTTTATCCAAACATCCTGTCTATTTTGTTATTTCTACATTTCTAACCCCTAATTGCACAACGTCAATCTTCTTAGTTATTATGATGCTACTTTGTTTGTTTAATCCGTCCCCTGTTTATTATGGCATTCTAATTCCTAATTGTAATTTTTATTAATTTTACCCTTAACCGGAAATTATTCCGGAACTTTCCCATTCATTTGATATAAATACACTAATGTACAACCTGGATGATGACTTCGTTAAAAAGAAGATTTTCTTCGCTGCATTTGTCTTCTTAATAACTCCTATGACCCAATGTGTATATTCCGTGATTTTAAATTATGAAACAATATTTACAACTAAATACTCAGATTGGATTTGTGCAGAGTACATTAGTGCCGTGTCACTCAGATAAACTACTGTGTTATATAACTTCAGAAAAATTAAAAAATCGTGCTCATGTGCGTCGGTGGCACAGTGGCTAGGACTCTCGTCGACCAAGCACATGGTCCAAGGATCCATCCCCTGCCAACGCACACTTGATATCTATGGTCGGCCTGCAAAACTTGGGCTACCGATATCCATGCTGGAAATTCCATACTTGTACCAAAAATACGGTGTGGAATCAAGCTTTAGTCAGAAATTAAAATTAAAATAAAATAATTAAGCTCTACTGTTTAGATTATCAGTGAAATTTAGTGTAACTATCATTTAGGTCAAGCAACGAGTGTTAATGAAGCGGGAATCAGTGAATTGATCAAACTACGGTAGAACTTGTCAGCTGAATACTCAGCCTATAGTGGAACATACACTGTTAGAAATACACTGACAGACGCATGACTGATAATTAAGTCAACTACAATGAATCAGCCATGCGAAACGATAAGTGTGAATACTGTATGTGTCAAATTTAGATGGCTAGTGGAGAAAGCATATGAGAAATTACAATTAAGATGATAATGAATTACAGTCCATCTAAATCACTTAAATAAACAACTAGTTAGCATAGAAAGAACTTGAAAATATCAGCACTGGCAGACTGAATAATAAAAGCAACAATAAGAGGTTGAATCAGACGACAATAACCACAACAGTTTTAATTTAATTTTATTTTTATTATAGCTTGATTCCACACCGTATTTTGGTACAACTATGGAATTTTCAACATGGGATACCGGTAGCCAAAATTTAGCAGGCCGACCATTGATACCGGGTGTGCATCGACCGGGGATCTAACCCTGGACCATGTGTATGGCAGGTGAGAGTCATAACCTCTGTACCACCGACACAGAGCGAGATATTATCACCATGCCAGATTCGAAGTGACTACCATTTCTGTAGGTGGCACAACGGTAGAATGCTCTGCTACCATGTATATGGTTCGGAGTTCGATCCCCAGCCGACGCACTCCTTTACCTCGTTCAGCCAGGTAAAGAGGAAAGTTTGCTCATGAGGCTAGCAACCCATCCTGTAAAATAAACAGTGCTATAGAAACTTCAAGCCACTAGCTTGAAGCCCTATGTTCTACTGGGGAACGTGAAGGGAAAGAAACCATTTCTGTCTGAACTGAGAGACTGGATTTGTAAACTCTGCTGAAATATCTGCAAATGTAAACATCTTTATGTTTGACAATTCAACAGAACCCACCTTATTAACGTTTGTTGCCTGTTTTAAGCTTGTATCGGGATATGAATATTTCCAACTTTTGTAGTAGCCTTTAGGGGTTAGTGAACATTTAAAGTATCACTGGCAAAATCTTCAACTTAGTTTCCAACACATAGAAATCTTACTAATGCCCATATTGATATAATCAAAATTATATATATATATATATACTGACGAATAAAATTCGATAGATTTCAGTGCATAATCATCAGACCGAACAATTAATTGAATCATTTGTAAGGTGAAGCATAAATCACCAATCATATGATTCCATTACTTAAAGTATGATTTAATAAAGTATTTATTCAATGATACGAAAGAAATAAAAGCACTCAACTTTCCAAATATCATACAATCTGTGAACTTATTTAAAAAAAAAGAGTTTATAATGAGTGCATAATTTGGAGAATTATAACGCAGACAACTTATTTGAAGTTATACTTATGAACACTGATAAATGATTATTCTATCAGAAGACTACAATGCAGAGTTTACAATGCAACAAACTATCGTGTATACATCATCAGCTTGCTTTAGCCAGAAGAATATTTTTAGGAAGTTGTTTAATCGTGGCAATCATTCTCCTGCATCGTTTAATATTCCCCGTCAATGAATATAAGGGATTTAAAATTCAGTTTCCGGTCAAAAACCAGTACAATGGTGTCAACAGTGTGTGTGAAAATTTGTTCGAAAATCGTAGCCACGTATATACTGAAGGTATACAGTCGACATGGAGTGGAAGACCTTTAAACTTAACAAATCCTAGTGAGTGCGAGGAATTCAAATTGTACGACGGATATACTGTTCATCCTTCAGTTGAAGAAGAACAATTCCCTTTAGCATTTAGTTTAGCTGTACACGATAACATCAAACAGGTGTCTCGATTACTCCGACTGATACACAGACAACACAATCTGTACTGTATTCACGTTGACTCTAAGTCGCCACAATCATTTTATAATGAAGTGTTGGCACTAGCCAAGTGTTTTGGTCCAAATGTAATGGTAGTAAAACGATCGGAAAGTATTGACGTTCAATGGGGTTATTACTCCATCCTCGAAGTATTTCTCCTCTGTGCTGACAAATTGATGAACAAGAATGAATACAAGTGGAAATACATTCTGAATGTGAGTGGACAGGAATTACCACTGAGAACAAATTGGGAGCTCGTAGCAGCATTGAAAGCAATCAATGGGTCGAATATTGTTGAATGTCTAGGTCCACGGCATAATCCATCTCGATGGCCTGTAAAAAAGCTATCTTTCCCTGTAAGTTATGAGTAGATTTTTACATATAGCTATATGTAGACAAAAGAACTATGCACATAATCACTGCCTTGATAAAATCTGCTGAAGACCTGTATAATAATAGTAATCATAATACTGTTCAAAGTTTACTAACAGAGGAATCAACAAATGGATGTTGATTTAAACAAATGCTCTTCGTGAATAATCACTTCAACCATTTCAATCTAACTGGTAAATACAAGTGGTCACCAAAGATACCCTTACAATTGACTGCCTGTTTCAGTTAAGCCTACGTAAGTGTAGAACAGTATTGTGTCTATTTAACAGGATTGCTCAACATTCAAATAGATAGTTGGGAGTTTGAACTCTACTGTATCAGCTTTGATCATAGTGAGATTTTATTTTCTTAATTCACTGCACATTAATTCTGCTACACAGCCTAATGCAAAGTGAAACATCAATTTCCATTTGATTACGGAATAAGGATTAAAAGTTTAGTAATGTGTGAAGATAAGTCAGATGAGCACCAAAATGGTGTTTAACCAGCTATAAAGTTTAAAAGCCGGTCCATTCCGAGGAATAAAAAAGCATTTCCACAAACTTTATGAAAGGAAAATTCATTCATTCTCACTCATAAAAGGGTGTTAAGGTTCGGATTTAGCAAAGAAAATAATATTTTCCTGTGGCAGTTTAATATATACGAATATAACGTAAAATGATTAGAACTATGATGAATGTGAAATCAGAATAATGATAATAAGGTGGTAAATCAGAGGAACTGTAGTCAAAGTCAGTGATTATCGCATTAAGAGGTCGAATAAACACCCTTCCAAATATACTAAACAGATAAGAATCAACATGGAAGAAGGAAACATTGTACACTTTTCTGAAATAATCCTGATAACCATGACTCTCTAAAGATGTCAACTAGTGTTATCCATGAACGGTAGACAAAGGGGAATTTAAAAAGTTGTCTGTCGGTCATATTTAGTTTTACATTAGGAATTGTTAGGAAATAAAGTGATTTTCTTTAAACTCTTCTTTTTCAAATCAATCTCATAATGGTAGTATACTGGTGTATATCCAATCTACATATTTCTATTCCTATTGAATATTGAACTCTAGCTACAGCTTTATTTAAAATAATGAGTGCTACTACGAAAGCAAACTCAATCACATGATATTAAACTCTTCTGTTTTTTATTTGTGTTATATATATATATATATATATATATATATATCCGATATATAAACGTTTCGTTGACTAAAACGAAACATTCTCAGTGGAACATAGGGCTTCAAGATAGAACTTTGAAGTTTCGGTAGCAGTGGTGATTATTTTTTACAGGATGGGGTTGCTAGCCTCTTGTGCCAACCTTTCCTCTTTACTAGTCTTATTGCTAACTTAGTGAGGTAAAGGAGTGAGTCGGCTTGGGATTGAATCCCGGACCACATTCGCGGTTGGCGAGCATTCTCCCGCCGTGCCACCGACGCACAACTAAAGCGTTATAGTTTTAAATATTTTCTTTGTTTGCTTCCCTCAAGTCTTCAAGTTGTACTTAACACTTTAACTGAGAAAAGTTCAGATTTCACTCAAGTTAAACTATTCAAACTCAATTAAGAATATGATTCTCATTTGGTTTTACATTCTCATTTCAAAAATTTAAAAGTGTTTCATAACCACACACTCATTTCAGTGTTTAAAAACACCAAAGAAAGAAATGATTGAATAGCATTGAAATTCATGGATATATTTCATTATCAAACTATTCTTAATACCTTTTAATAAATGAATAGTCGTCATTTAGAAAATGAAATATGCGAGACATGCAGTTAAATAAAGAGACTCTTACATATCAATTTCATTTTCAAACCAGCACAAACAGAAATGTTTGCAAATAATAGAAAAGATTTGTAACTCAGGTGGATGATTTGCAGAAAGACGATGAAAGCTCCGCAACTAAACCAACCAGCTCAGAGAACACTATTAACTGCAAAAGGAATGTATGCACTTAGTTAACCGGTCACTCATGTACAATATGATAGGCGTTTACAACATTTTATATGATATGACCGTAAATGCAATAAAAGAATAATACATTCAACGTGATGCACATCATAAAAGAATTGAAATAGCAATAAATAATTAATATTATTTCAAAATTCGTCAGCAGTAATTAAGGAGTAATTAGTTCCGATGGGAACTTGTGTAATATGATGAAGCATCTATTAGGAAATCAGATGTGCTTAGATGAATAAGTATTAGGTAATGTTATAACTGAAAATAGTTGTACTGAGATTTAGTTCAGATAGTAAAATCCAGCAGGCAACTTGATTGAATGCCAAATCCAATGTGGTTCCCACTTAAATAACCCCTGCCATACTGAGACCACACAATAATCAGAAGGCAAAACAGGCCAAATCTGCCAATACTCGGAAAACTAAGATAATTTCAGAAGCTAAGTAACTGATTTGTTTAATTGCACAAGGTGGAAGATTCAAAGTCAGATCGAAGGTTGTTGAGTCAAATTACCTTAAATTTTCCTGCTTCTCAAAACAATGGCTTAAACTGTCAATTCTGGTTTCAGCCAGTTTAAACCGATGAGAAAAGAAAGTGCGCATTGTCACAAAATATGGTTATTTTAAGCATAGACAAATATAGGGGTATATAAGACGTAACAGTTGCAGCAGAATCGACACCGGCGGGCAGTTAATAATATGAAATAGACAGATCAAATGAAAGATGCATGAATTTATCACTAGAGGGAAATACTTGGTTGGGTGAGTAGTGCAGAGGTCAAAGTTTCCTGTGCTTTCCGTATAGCACAGGTGGGATTTTGGTACTGCAAAAAGCAGGAAGAATAATTTCGATGCTTTGTAAACGAAATCAATACTAAGAGTCTCTTTTCTGAATTCTTTATTTATAATTTCTGGACTAGTGTAATTCATTCACTTGAGACTTGAAATGTATGGTAAGATTTAGTTGGATATGATGGAGAAGACTTCTTCCATTTGAAGGAAATATTGTTGGCTAGCGTTATACTATAGAAGAACAAAATTTTAGCAATATAATCGGTAGTTATACAGAATATTTAACATCGTATGATTTAAAATCCTGTATAAATATTTAGCAGACATAGTTTAACTCTCAGTTTGTCTCTATGGAAGCGCTTCTGTTTGAATCAAACTGTTATTTAGAAGTGAAGTCAGTGATGTTTACGGCATCGCTTTGTTTCATTTCTTCTTAATTTCTTTTCCAACCATAGATTGTTTGGAGTAAAGGCAGTTTCTATATGGCGCTAAAACGTGAATTTGTTCATTTCTATCAAACTGATCCAAAAGCAAAGGAAATACTTGACGCAATGAAATCAGAGAAGAATTTGCAGAAGCATCCAGATGAATTATTTTTCTCAACACTAAGTTACAATCCACAACTTGGCGCACCTGGTGCTAGTAACTTGCTTCCCACCAATGACAGTTTGCATACAAGATCGGCATTTGCATCACGTTATGTCACGTGGGGCATAAAATCATGTCTCAGTGGAAGAGTTCGTCGTGGCGTGTGTATTATAGGCGTAATGCATCTGCCATACATACCAAAACGAATGGAATTTTTTGTGAATAAATTTCTTGAAGATTTTCAACCGATTGCATATGACTGTACAGAATATTATATCATGCGTAAAACTATTAAAGAAATGCAAACGCAACAAATTGATCCAAATTTTGATATTTCGTTCTATTCTAGACTGTATCAAGCAAAAAGTCATATTTAGTTGAGTTCAGTTCCAGGCATATTATTTATTGTTCATTATCTTTGAAACCGGTGACATTCTGGCATCTACCTCTGTACCGTATAATTACTTGTTATTCGTTAAATTATTTTTCCTGCTGTGTTTACCTACATAAAGTGGGTTTATTCTTTTTTTCAAGAAATTCTCTGTTACTCTTATTTACCAATAAATGCTCAATTCCAGATTAAAAAACCCCCTGTATAATTTATTTCACATTACGTATAGTTAACACGTAAATGTTCATGTATCAATTAGTTTGAAATTTTCAGCAATATCAATTCAGTAAAACACTTGTATCATTTACAAAATAGAGAGATTTTAAAAAATTCCCCCTTGTTTTTACCATTTGTCACAAATGTATAAACGTTATCGGCGAAGTTCAACAATAGCGTCCCAGGAGTGCGAACGCCTCAATGACCTTGAACGCATGTTAATCGTTGGCTAACGGCACCTATAATTATCATAGCTGAAATATCAACGCTATCCATCGAATAAGGAGCAAGTTTCACCCAGATAACGCTTTTAATTACTGTTCGAACAATGTGTTAATATCTCGTTAGGGTTAGGTTTACGGCAGGATAAGGATTTTCATTAGGGTTAGGATTAAGGTTAGGGTTAGTGTTAAGTTTAGGGTTTGGGTCAGGATTAAGGTTAGGGTTGCGTTTAGGGATAGATTTATAGTTAATGTCATTTATTTTAATTTGTTTTATCCTCATTTCCCTTGTATGTAGTCGTCGATCCTCTTACTGAAACCATAGTAATTTAACCGAGGGCTTTGGAGAGGACTGCACAGCAAAAGAAGAGAGATGAACGACTCACAAAACAGCACATCTTCAGTCACTTCGGTGAATACATCTATAGAAACCAATCCAACTTCGCAACTGATACTCTTCATCATAACTGGGACGTATTTTTAAGTCATGTCAGAGAAAGATAATCTGTTTAATATGCTTTCATGCATTTTCTGGTGAATATACGTCATTTTTTGTGCGAAAGTTCCTCATTTTTATGAGTGGTTGGTTGAAGGTCACTTGTGCGTTCACATCCCTTGGGACACTACTGTTGAACTTTGCCAAGTTACCCATCCAGTGACATCAATACGTAAGGATAAAAATAATTGCGAGGTGTTTTCACGAATAATGTAGCCGATGGTGCAACAGATGTCCTAGTTGTATAAAAAGTCTATGGAACGTCTTTAAAATAGCCAAATGTAACATCTTAAATGTCTACAGATGTGTCCTTTAGACACACAATACAAAAATCACACAAGTCTATAGGCAAAAACAACTACCTTGGGAAATTCAAATTGTAATTGACTGTCGCTGTTCTATCCACTCAAGAAGGCATGAATGAAAGGAAAAAAGGAATACTGCACACGTTTTGAATGTTACACTTGGCTGTTTTAAAGATATTTTATCGACTTTTTACATTGCTGTAATATCTGTTGTGTCATTTGCAATACTAGACGTGATACCATATTTAGGGTTAATTTTACCTACACCTAACAATAATAACACATTAAAAAATTACACTACAATAGTTGAAGAAATAATAAAACTACTAAAGAGCATTCTGTTATACCTGTGTATAAAAATAGAAGTGTAGAAATAGTGCGTGGATACATGATCTGAAACTGACTAACAAACTTCGAACATAGCAATTCAAAAAGAACGATGGAATCTGCGATGAGACACGATATCAACGAAATAAATGAGTGACTACACAAAATAGTACTGTCAAATGACGTACACAACTATGAAAGGAAAAATATGACTCAAAATGTAAGTAAGTACCAACTCACAAATACTGTGACTGTTAATCTAGGATATTAGTTCATATCCTAATGGACCGATTCCTGTTCTTACACTATAAATTATCCCTTTTTGAGAACATATTATATAAGGGTTAAAAGTTCTTCGTAAAGAGGAAACAGATGATATAAGTGATCATTTTATTTATCAGTGTTCACGTAAAATATACTCCTACAACGAATACTCATTCTAACAGTACGTTCCATTTCTCTGCATTCGCTACACAAAAACTAACATGCTTCGTTCACCTAAAGTTAACAAAACAAAATAGTTATTTTCTGAATACAGTGTTCACTAATAATAATAATTTGCTTTATTACAGAAACAGTACTAGTGGTACAGTGTGGAATTTCCAGCACATATCTACAATATTGCATCTAATTTTATCAAAAATTTAAAAGGGGTATTACAAAAACAAATAAATATTAAAAACAACAAAAAAATGCCAAAAAAATACCAAGTAGAAAGGAAAATAAACAATAATAATAAATAATACTTCAGTACTGGGTAGTGGAAACTGTGATATGTGTATGCATGGTGGACAGTTACAGCTATAATCACACAAGAAGTTATGAGATGTTCTTAAGAATGTTTATAGCCAAGATGATCAGTTAATTTGGTTGAACAAGACTAATGAGTCATAAAATAAACATTTCAGGGTTTTTATTGTCAGCCCTAATGCGGTGTTTGTAGTGGTAGTGTGAGTAATTCTGCATAATATAAAATTTTTAAGATGGTGATTACGGCGTTCAACACAAAGATTGTCAGTTAATGTTGCTGAACAAAACGAAATCACAAAACTAATATTACATGATGGTTAGTGACAAGACAATTTTGTAATACTCATAGTGCTAATATAGTCGGGACCAGTAGATACACAAAAAGAAGAATAGAATAAGGAACCCAAAAGTAAGCCAATGATAATAATTTTACGTAGCTAAGTATGTTTATGAAGGTTGTTCACTGTAGAATACAAACAAGAGAGTCTAAGGGAGAAATAACAAGGGCCAAAATTATGTTATTAACAACAAAGCAAGTCATAGGTTTCGCGCTAAACACTGTCTCTGTCACTTAGAACACGGGCTGGCCAAATATGGTATCGTTGAGTTCCTATACTTGGATGTACAAGCATATATTCTATTCTATATTCTATTCTGCTTTTATCACAAAACAATGCCAGTCAAAATTAACGATGAAATTTACACTCTGCCACAGAAACGATAAAATCTGATACTCTCGGCTATATCAAGGAACACACCCCACACCCCAAGTGCGTCGGTGGCACAGTGGTTAGGACTCCCGTCGACCATGCACATGGTCCGGGGTTCCATCCCTTCATGATGCACACCCGATATCGATGGTCGACCTGCGAAATTGGGCTACCAATATCACATGATGAAAATTACATGCTTTTACAAAATACCCGGTGTGAAATCAAGCTATAATCAAAAAAATTAAAAATCTAAAAGTAAAACCATTAATTTAATTCGATTTCCTTCCAAATAAACTCCATCAGTCTAAAATACATCCACTGATTCAAAGACGAGATCAATGCCGCCAAATATAGACCAACTCAAACTCAAAAACCTCCGATATACTTCCAGTAAAAAACAAATAAATATTCCTATGCTGTGATCTAATACAGTCATATGAAACTTTGCATGTACACTCACACATACCGGAAAAATAAAGGACATATTTGAAACGAAGTAAACGACCATACGACAAAGCGGAAGAAAAAGATAGAACCAGAGACAAGAAGATAAGGCGAAACACATTAATGATGAAATATAAAACCAGATTAATTGCATTGACTACTGACACACACAGAGACGGGGAATAATAAAAATATTCCAAGAAATCGAACACATCGAAACTCTCCTGCTAAGCACTCGTCTAGTAGTTAATAGTCCTGACGTGGGAAGAGGGAAATCAGAAGACCACCAGGTTTACGATGATACTTCTATTTTCCAGACAAGGAAAATAGATGTCACACAAGTGTGTGAGTGGAAGGGTACGTATGTGCGAAACGTGGGAACACAAGAAGCATATATAAAGTGTACAATGCAAAGTATATATGAAAATGGCTAAAACACATGATCCAATAGACAGTCATCTTACCATGATTGGTTGTAATGTCATGTGATAACAAGGTCATACATGTTTATTTAGTTAGTGGGCAGACAAAAGCATACTGTCAGTTATAATGGAATATCGATCCATACACACATAGCAAAATATAATAGACAGTCAAAACCAAAACACACACACATCATGTGACTACGGATCATCTACACTCATACATCACACCAAAATTACACTACAATTAACGGTGAATACAAATGAATAGAATTTCGAGAGTCAGAGAACACACACACTCACTTTGTGCATGACAGGCGATAAAAGACATCAACAAAATGAAAGAAGGCGACTAAGGTACTCACAATATCGAATAACATTAAGGGTTCAGATAGAATAGAGACGCTTTCCATAAGTATCTGGTGCACACAACCCTGTTCATATTACGATTTGTGTATTTCACTAAATATCGTGTCTGTTGATAACAGAAATTTCATCGTTATCCCGGAATACACTAGTAAAGGAATAACGAAAGCATATGAGAACTGTACATCACACTTTATACAGTTCGCTCATGCGTATTTCACATTAAGGCAGTCAATTCATTCAATAACTGGAACCAACAGACTACTGAAATTGTTTCATGTTTCCTTTCATCTTATCACTTGATTTAAATACAATGGCAATGTGTTGGTTGACCACAAAATTATATATAATCACATTTTTCGAATATGACTGTAAGATAAGCTGGGACTGACTTAAAATCACAAGATCAAAGAAAACACGTGACAGAAGCATAAATCAAATGTTATAATTCACTCGTTCATTCATTCATTCATTCAAAGAAAACCGAGGCATATCGTAAAACATTGATAATGCTTATTCTAGCCTGCTTACTTAAACACAGAGATTTCAGAAATCAAAATCAGACAATCGGTAAGGCTGACGAAATGTGTGTTTTAGTTAAGTTCATTAAGTTCATCATAGTGACTCTCCTTTTCAGAATTCTGTTTCGATCCAATAACATGCATATTTTCTCCTTGACAGACTACTGCTTAGTTGTATGTTTAGTTTGAAAATTCAAATCCACACCAACTTTGGTGATTTCATCTATGACATTGAATTGAATTTTGTAAGGTATGAGTTTTCGCATATTTTGTATCAATCGATCGACAAAATTGGAAAATTGCATTGATTACACGAATTTGAGCCTCACAAGAATGTGAAATAGACATCCGATCAGCTGAGAGAATTTTTTGTGACTATTTTCTCCGTTTATCAATTTATTTTTCTCAGTGAGGCTGCACTTTTTACGTATCTAAACTATATAGATTCCCTCTATTTTAGTACTGTCATAAAAAGTGCTAGGATAGCGATTCT